TCATAACTTGGCCATTTGGCCATAACAAGACAGGCAGAGAGTTCATAAACGGCCTCCTTTGTCATAGCTGGACAGGCAGAGAGTTGCCTCCTTGGCATGTCTGGACAGGCAGAGAGTTCATAAGTGGGCTTCCTTGAATGTGGCAGGGTAGACAGGGAGTTCATAAGTGGGCATCCCTGCCTTGAGAGGAGCTGAAGTGGTCACCGCCCCCTCGGGAGGCCACGCAGCAGAAGCTGCCAACTCCGAAAGAGCTGGAGCAGACTCATGGACTGTAGTGGGTTCTGGAGCAGATTCAAGGACTGGAGCTGACTCAGGAGGAGTAACAGAGCAGTGAGTAGCCCAAACACACAGGATGGCGACCGCCATTACAGAGAGCACTGAGCCTAGGGGAACAGTCTCTGTGACAGCCAGTTCTGAGGCCCTTGGGATGCCTGCTGCTCACACCGACATCAACGGTGGGTCTGTCAGACTGGAAGCCATCTTCTGAAGAGACTCAGAGCTGGCGGCTATGACAGGATGAGACTCTGGAATGGGGGTTACTGCGGGAGTTCTGCGTTACTCCTCCGTGACTCCCATAGTAAATTGAGAACTACTTAATTGCAATGCAATATCAATATACTGTTCAAGAGTCCAATTAGGTTCATGAAGTGGCATACAGTAGCTGAGTGGCTCAGAAAGCCCTCCTTGAAAAAATATAATTAAACATACTACGTCCAATGAGGTTGATGTGATGTTGATGTGACCAATGAGGTCTGCCAGTTCAGAAAGTCTCTTACATATTCCTCCATTGTCCAATTCCCCTGTTGGAGATGATTTGTGCGACTGATTTGTGCGACTGGATTCATATTTGTTGGTCTGGAAAAACTCACAAAGCTGCTGGATCTGGGTTTGGCTGAATATTCTGCAACATCGGAGGCGTGACAACGGAGTTGAAGATCCATCTGCAGGCTTTATTTTAAAAGAGTGGTCAACACAGGCAGGGTCAAACACCAGCAAACAGGTATAATCCAGGGCAGACAAAAGATTAATCCAATAAACAGGCAATGGTCAGGGCAGGCAGAAAACTATTAAAAAACAAGGTAAACAGTCCATGGTCAAAAACACGAAGGCAAGGCAAGAAAACACGGATACTAGGGAAAGGTTACAGGCTAACAATATTCAGCAACGTGAGTGTGAGTGCATACTTTATAGTCATCCTTATTGAAAATTAGGTGAAGTCTGATAATGAGTTCCTAGGCTGGGGTTATGGGAAATGGAGTACGGGGTAGAGTGGCAACAGTCAGGGGAGTGCCCTCTGGTGGAGTTCATGGGGACTCCAACTGGAGATCGTGACAGTACTAAAGTATCAGTTGTTTATTGCAACATTACATAACTACAATAACTTTGTCTAGTGCTCTTATGAAAGTTTATAGCATGATTTGTGAAAATGTAACTATGCTGAATGACATGGCATAGACTTCTTCATGGCTAGTTTTTGTGTGTTTCATTTCTTTCTGTAACCTACTTGTTCTACAGATCTGTGTGTACTAGTGTTAAATGCTACTGTTTTTGACAGTGTTGATAACGTTTATGACAGATGATATCATGATAATTTTTGCGTTTCCCTTACCGAATGTCGTATCCTGTCAGCAAAAACCTGTCCATGGGCTTTTTTGATTGCTTTCAGTTTAAGTGCCGGCTATGCAGTGTTGCCAAATATTGATACTAAAACAAACAAAAAACTAAAAATAAATAAATAAACCGAAATTATTTCCAATCTTTTGCAAATAAGATAAAGATATCGCTTTAGATATAACTTCCTACTTTATTAACTTTCTAAAGTGTTAACTTAAGTGGAAAAGACAAGTACAAAAACGATAGGCAAAGTAGTATCGGCACAGGCAAAACTGTTTGCGTTTGAACTTGTGTGACGTTCATGATCTCATTCACATCTGCATTCCCAACCCATCACTTTTGAGTTACTGATTATAAACGATTTTCAACCCAAACTGGGTCAAACCAACTTCTTCACCCAACAATCTCAACCCAGTGTTTTTTAGAGTGTGGCCTACTACCTTAGCATAGCGGTAATTGGTTAAGAAAAGCTCTTTCTCAGGATGACACACGTTTTTGATCAGGAATTGAGGAAGCGGGATAGGATCTTACACAACAGTCTAACATCAGAGGCTAATTGCTAGTTCTAATCAGCCTAGAAATTCAACAACTGTAACAACAACAACATATAATAAATTACAAGTTAAAAGATTAGTTATTTAATTTAAATTGAACTTCTCTTTATTTGCATGGGGATTTTTGTCCAACACAAACTCTCTGTTGTTTCAGTAAGTTGTTAAAGTGATTCTGTACTGTATAGCATGTCATCGCATTCCCTCAAGAATGTCCAAATGTCAGTTCCTACACCCACCCGGGACAGAGACTTCCTGAGTTCTTTAGAGAGTGACAGTATAATACTCGCATCTTATGAAACTCCACACTGTCGACTAAACACTGTTTAAATAAACAGAGCAAGCCCTTAGATGGCACACCACTTTCAATTACATTTGCCCTCATTATTCAGTTTGAAGCTCTATGTTGTGAAATTTGCTGAAATATTTCCCACTTTTATTTTTAGCTTTGATCTGCCATTTGTGATCTCTGTCCAAAAAAAGTCAGAGGAGCGGCCTGCACGTGGTGATGCTTTTGGCACCTTTAACAAGCTTTGATCTGATCTACAGGTTCTCGCTTGGCACTGGGATGCATCCAGACTGGATGCTAATGTTATTTTTCGTCCATACGCATCTGACAGTGACGGTTACTCTGGGATTACTTCTCATTCCAAAGGTGATTATTATCCTTGTCATTAAATCTGTAGAATGTCTGCAAACAGCTTATGGAGCTTAACACAGTCTTGTTTTTGAGAAAGGTTCATATATTGTTTCGTCCTTCACTGCAGTTCTTGTTCACTGGAACTCATACACGGGAAGATATAGCCACAGAGGCTTATGAAGATGAGCTGGATATAGGTCACTCAGGCTCCTGTCTGAACAGCAGCATAACATCTGCCTGGAGTGAGCACAGTCTGGATCCTGAGGACATTAGGGTAAGACATTTTCACCGGCCCTTTGAACTTCTAGACACACAAACAATATCCTAAAACCAAAATCTAAAAATCTGACAAACGTTTGCAACTTTTGTACCCCATTGTTCAAAATTGTCTGGTGTTGATTCAGGATCTCATTTAGATTTCTTTTTATATTTCAGTGAACTCTTGTTAGCGATATCTCTGTCTTGTTTAAGTACACTTATGGTATTTCAGACTTGGTGCATTTTAGGGATTTCATAGCAGTTTGCATGAATTTGTGGCTCCAACTTAGCTTGTTAGCAGGAAATTCTTAGCATTGCTTTGAATATTACAAATAATTTTAGCCATCACAGGTTACCTGTACAAAAGGTAATGATGATGAGCTTGACAGAGGTATTGTTCATTTTTTATTCCATTCTTATGGAGATGACCGCATGAGTATATTATAGGGTTTCCATGGTATTAGAATAGTGAATAGAAATCTTAAACTTTTTTCTCTAAAATACTTTGTGAAATGGATTGTTTTTTGCGAGTGCCATTTCCATTATTTGTTGGATCCCAGACCACTAAATTATTGATGGGGACCAGATCACAAGCAAAATATGATCTGAGATTACTTTAATGCCAAAAACCAATAGCCTCATGATCGGTGCCCTGACATTTAGCGCAGTTGCGCTTCTGGCAACTGGAGTTAAAATTTTGGTAAATTTTTAAGAAACATAAATCTTAAGAAACTATGTGAATGCAATGAGAACTGGGTTATTTTTCACTTGTTTCATATTTTGGTCAGTTTAGAATAGAGGAGTTGAGTTTGGTTCAATTGTCTGGTGTTGATTCAGGATCTCATTTAGATTTCTTTTTATATTTCAGTGAACTCTTGTTAGCGATATCTCTGTCTTGTTTAAGTACACTTATGGTATTTCAGACTTGGTGCATTTTAGGGATTTCATAGCAGTTTGCATGAATTTGTGGCTCCAACTTAGCTTGTTAGCAGGAAATTCTTAGCATTGCTTTGAATATTACAAATAATTTTAGCCATCACAGGTTACCTGTACAAAAGGTAATGATGATGAGCTTGACAGAGGTATTGTTCATTTTTTATTCCATTCTTATGGAGATGACCGCATGAGTATATTATAGGGTTTCCATGGTATTAGAATAGTGAATAGAAATCTTAAACTTTTTTCTCTAAAATACTTTGTGAAATGGATTGTTTTTTGCGAGTGCCATTTCCATTATTTGTTGGATCCCAGACCACTAAATTATTGATGGGGACCAGATCACAAGCAAAATATGATCTGAGATTACTTTAATGCCAAAAACCAATAGCCTCATGATCGGTGCCCTGACATTTAGCGCAGTTGCGCTTCTGGCAACTGGAGTTAAAATTTTGGTCCTTTGCAATCCTGTCTCTCTCTTCACTATGTTCACTTCACTCTTCACTTTCATCTAAATGCAAAAACACCAAACATAAATCTTAAGAAACTATGTGAATGCAATGAGAACTGGGTTATTTTTCACTTGTTTCATATTTTGGTCAGTTTAGAATAGAGGAGTTGAGTTTGGTTCTTCTACAAGGGACATAAGAGTGAAAACCTTCACTTTGTTTTGTATTATGTGTTCTTTGCCTTTATCAGGAGGAGCTCAAGAAACTCTATGCCCAACTGGAGATCTATAAAAGAAAGAAGATGCTGGCCAATAACCCTCACTTACAGAAAAAACGCAGTTCCAAGAGAGGACTTGGACGGACACTAATGCGCCGCATCACAGAAATACCAGAGACAGTGAGTCGGCAATACAGCCGGGAAGATCGAGATGCAAGTGACCATGGGAGTAACAGAGGCACTCTGAGGAGAAACCCATTTGACCCGTCTCACTCCGGGAAGTCAAGGGAAGAATCGTTAAAGAGAAAGATGTTCTCACTGAAGAGATCTCATAGCTATGACCATACACATGACCAAAGAGGGGATACCAATGGGGTGTGTGAAGATAAAATGGAGAACTCTACTACTGAGGCTTCTCTGCTTGACACTTTGATGGGGCGGAGGTCCAACAAGAAGAACCCTGAGGTGCCAAAGGTCAATTTAGCCGAATCTACTGAATCAGTGCCCTTAGTGTGCAAGTCGGCCAGTGCACATAACCTAGCAGCGGAAAAAAAGCCTGTACATCTTCGGACCTCTATGTTACAGAAGTCACTGTCTGTCATTGCTAACGCCAGAGAACGGACGATGGGCATTGCGGGGAAGACCCACAGTGTGGAAGATGCCAGTAAAAAGGGTCTCAAAGCAAGGGACAGCACAGCACTTTCAGAAGTCGATGAATCCCCTGAGTGTTTACCAAAAATGATCATCAGCCAGTCGGTTGAGTACACCAAAACACCTAGTAAGATGGGCATCATGAAGCAGCAGGTGAGTGGCAGTCAGCCTTCCATTTGTTCAGAACCAGGGAAGAGCAAGGACCTGTACGATCTCTCTGAGGTGTGCCCTTGGGAAGTGGAGGAGTTACCCACTCCAACAGAGGGCAAGTCACAGAAGCATGTTTCCATTGCCCCCACTGAAACCAATACAATCAATGGGAGCAGTGCAAAAAGTGGACACAAGTCTCAACACAAACAAAAAGGGTTGGGCCAATCTCTGTCAAACCGGCGCCGCTCCAGAGATAAGACTGGGGACAGGGATGAAGGGAGGAAACCCAAATCACCTCTCAACCTCAATGCCCACAAAGATGCAAGTCCATGGAACTTCGAGGATCTATCGGTGCAACCAATGGAGCCTGTAGGACTGTCCCCCGAGAGAACAAGCCGCAAAAAAAGTGTCACTCCCACAGATGGAAAGCCCAAGATCATACTCTCAGACATCTCCAAATCCACAGGTAGCCTTTTGCAGCCTCCAGCTCTCATGGTGGATATCTGTCCTTGGGATTATGATCCCCCTCTGTCCCCCAACCAGGACAAGACTTCCAGCCTATCCACATATCATTCAAAGAGAAGAGATTCTTGCTCGAAAAGAAAAGGATCCTGCTCCTCCAAAGAGAAAGCTAAGAATAAAGATGATGATAAACGAATGTCCAAAAATAAGGAGCGGAGAAGCTCCTCAAGCAAACCCTCTGAGAAGCGTCGCACAAGCCAAACATCAGAGGGGGACCAAGTTGCCACAGTGGCATCTGGCAGGCGGAGGAGCTCTACTAGAGACTCCTCCATCAGCGGTAGTAAGCGTGCTGACGTTTGCCCCTGGGAGACAGAGGTATTGCCAAGTGTTACCTCAAATGATAAACAGCCTCCAACAGACTCGACAACTCGAACACCGTCCACTTACCTCAACATGGATGAAGTTTGTCCATGGGAATTTGAAGAGAAGTTGTCAGGGAAAAGTGCATGACACAGCAATCACAAAATTAGACTACTCCAGTAAGGTTTCTGAGATGGCAGATTCCATATTTGAAAGTCAAGGCCCAACCAGACCAAGAAAGCGAACTGTAACGATAATTGGCTTCCACATCAAGAACAGACACTAATGTGCACTGCAGTTATGTCGTCTGCCGCTTTAAATGCTGAAGCTCCTTGAAGATGGGTGGAGTCTGATTGGCTGTCAATGTTTTTATCATTCATCAGCTGGAAAACATAATTCTAAACGTTATATTGCTGTGGTGTGGACTTCACTATTTTCATATATTTTTAACAATTACTAAACCTTTATAGTTATAGCTATCATCCTTGGTGTGAATGGGCCTTTAGCCTTATTTTCACACTTATTTGCTTTACTTTTAAATAAGTTTGCATATATACCAAGTAAAACACTTTTTCAGTTTTTAAACCTGTCAGTGTTCCACTGTATTGCCCACGGTACACTGAGTGTTTTAGGCGATTTAGGCAAATTTTACAGGAATGCAAAGGGGTTAATGCTTGTTAAGGCCCGGGTATACTCTACTTTCCGCATTCCGTTCCATCTCGCGCACAGCCACATCCGCACAGCTTTCAAAGTATCCTCAACCTCGGATGAGTGCAGATGGACGAGCTCGACACAGGCGCAGTACCACCTACTTGACTTGCGCTCTGTCTCAACTTTCACCTCGTGCATGCGCTGTTGTACACAGACCGTCCGCGCGGTCTCAAAAAATTGCCAACTTGGACGGGGTGCACGGCTGTCTGCGAGCCCTCCTGATGACGAAAATGACGTAATGTGGATGGTGTGCGGAAGTATACTTTGGCCTTTATGAATGTATAATGTAAAAGTTTCATCAACAAAAACTGGCTTCCGATTGAAATAAAAATATAGTGCCTTGCAAAAGTGTTCAAACCCCTCTCATTTTCAGTTTCAAGCTTGATATTTTATGTATTTATTAAAAACAATATAAAAATTCTGAAGGGCAGGAAAAAACAACAACACAGTGGATGTCCCAGTGGCACTTTTGCTTCAGTTATCAGGAAGTGTTCAGACGATGCAATGTTTAACCCCTAAATAAGAATACCAAAAATCTCTTTGATGAATTAGTTTATTATTTATTCTCACAAACCTTTCTGAAAATTAACAAAAAATAATTATGATAATACTGCAGTTTTTCCAATTCAGTAAATGAGAGAATTTGTTTTTAGGGTTTGAAGACCTTCACAAGGCACAGTTAGAGAGAGTGGGGTAAGATGAGACACATCCTGTATCTAGGAAACTGCATAATTTTTTTTTTTTTTTACAATTTATTTTAAGCTGTAATATTTGGCTGTTTTGATGGAATAAAGCACACAATATATATAATATATATGCAATATATATAAAATTGTTCTATAGATAAATACTTTGAAGATTTGGCTGCAAAAAGTTGAAAATTATACATTTTCAGTGTTATTGCCCAGGAAAAAAGATCTGGTTTGTGTAATTTAAGTCACTTTGAGCTATAGGTATTTAAAACAAACAGAAAACAAGCATTTGTGTAACATTTAAAATATAGCTGTTGTAATTTTCCCATGTGGTAAATATCCCCAGTCTCTACTCTATATCATACATGTTGGTGAGCTGATAGATGTAACTGTATATCAATGATTTGGCTAAATAATAAAATCGAAACATAACATAGGTTTTTAAATTTTATTTCTTGTTTCAAAAATGGTGGTTGGGAAAATTACTTATGGGAAGGCTGATTTGTAAGAAATCATATTTCATTGGCCCTATGCTTTAAATTCTATCTTATAATAGCAGTTTTATAACAGCAGGAGGCTCATCTTACCCTATTCTTATCTACATTTTAAAATTAATGATAAATTACAAAAAATATGCAAAAACATTTCTTTAAAACTTCTATGAACAACAATATTCCCCTGGTGCTCACTTTAAGTGTGAGGGATGGATAATTAAGATCTATCTTTTAAAAATATATCCCATATTGCTCAAAAACCTTCAATTTACCAAATATATTTAGGGATATTTTTCATACTCATGGGTACTATTTTAGACGTGGTCTACAATGTTTTCATTTATTTTATCAAAGACATACAATGAATGGTAAAGACCAGACAACTGTACACCAGCAGGTTGCAATGTAAATCAGTTGTTTCATCATTCTCTGTAAAGAATTTGTATCAGTAAACTGCATGAATGCGAGTAAACCAAACTACATTTTTAATCGGTGTTGAATATTGACAGAGAATTAAAGTTCAAAACATTTGTTTGTTCATTGCATGGGAACACTTCTCTGTTGCATTGTTGCTGGTACAGTTTTTCCCCCGTTTTACAGATCCCTTTCTGTTCTGTTGTGATTTGTATCAGTATCAACTACTGTCTTACAACATAATCAGTGATGTCACCCTATTGATGATTGTTGCATCAGTGTATACAAAGTCACATTGGCTCTTGCATGAGTGAGTAGGTTTGTCTTTTTACTGCACATGAAATTCTGAATCAGCAGGAGTGTTGCGAGTCTACTGAATATCTCAATGCAAAGTTTTGCAATGAATATCTCAATGCAAAAAAAAAACGTCCTGCAATAAACATATTGTGTTCTGATTTTACTGGCCTCATGATCCTCATCATATGCTTATATGATGATGTTTTTAGTCCCTAATGGAATACTTCTCTTGGGTTTGCTTTTTGTCTACCAAAGAAAGTTCCCTAAAATGTAAAACAGGCTACTCACTAAAGTCACAATCAAGACTATTAAGTGAGTTAACATATTTAGTGTCATTTTTGCTGATATTTATATTACAACTATAGCACAAAACAGAATGAACAAGTAATATATGAATATATACACAAAATAGTTCAAATCAGTTAAGCAGTGCTGATTTGTGCTCAAGGAATAGTTGTGTTGTGTCAGTTAAATATATTTCAAGTGCTACAACATACATTAAAACATTGCAATTCTAAAGTGATTTATGACTAGTAGCCTATTTAGTGCAGATGTATTTCAGTGACAGCTAAAGGAACAGTTTAAACTGACATTAACTGACAATTTCCTTACCCACAGGCCATTCAAGATGTAGATGAGTTTGTTTTCTCCAGATTTGGAGAAATGTAGCATTATATCACCTGCTCACCAATGGATCCTCTGTAGTGAATGGGTGCCGTCAGAATGAGAGTCCAAACAGCTGATAAAACATCACAATAATCCACAAGCATTCCACACCACTCCAGTGCATCAATCAACGTCTTCTGAAGTGAAAAGCTGCAGGTTTAGAGCTGCACGATAAATCGCATGCGATATCTAATGCGCATCTATTCAGAAAGCCGGTTCTGTAATCAGTGGTAAATCTCCATCATGTGCGTGCTTTCACATGGAGCAGCATTTACTACACAGAGCCGTTGTTCACAGACAAGCTGCGCAACAGCACGATCGTAGTTTTGTGCAGCTTGTCATTGAACAACGGCTCTGTGTAGTAAACGCTGTTAGCAGACTCTTGACTCTTGTTAGCAGAGTGAGAGAGAACACACCTGACCCCTTCAGCAGCAAATGTGCTTCTGAAAAAGGTGCTGTTAGTGCGCCTCAAGGATTCATGTGCTTCACTAATATGTGCCCCTCATAATACAACATTCTGCATGTATGGTTCCTTATAGAATAAATTATGTACATTGTACCTTATTATAACTCAGAACACACAATAAATGTAAAACACAAGAAAATAAGTTTTGATAAAGTTCACTAACAATATTCAAAGTTTTATAATTATTAACCCAGCTACATACTCCCCCTGAACCTTACAAAACTTGTTCAAAAGGATATAGCTATTATGAAAAATTCTCAAAGAAAACTCAAACTGTCCGGTGCTGTTAGTGCGCCTCAAGGATTCATGTGCTTCACTAATATGTACAACATTCTGCATGTATGGTTCCTTATAGAATAAATTATGTACATTGTACCTTATTATAACTCAGAACACACAATAAATGTAAAACACAAGGAAATAAGTTTTGATAAAGTTCACAAACAATATTCAAAGTTTTATAATTATTAACCCAGCTACATACTCCCCCTGAACCTTACAAAACTTGTTCAAAAGGATATAGCTATTATGAAAAATTCTCAAAGAAAACTCAAACTGTCACTTAATACACTTGTCACAGCAGCATATGCTTCCTACACCACAGGGTAAGTGGTCCAAACAGGTTGATCAGGCCTACTAAGACACACTGGCAAATAAGGTGCCCAAAAACACCATTATATTGACTTATTTATCACAGTGATTCGTAAAACTCAGAATCTCATGTACTATAACAAAATGGGAAAAAAAGATTGGATTAGTCTGGGGATTCAAGCCTGCTGGAATCAGTCTGTATAGATATTAGGTCCGCAGAGAATTGCAGTGGTCGCAGCATGGATGTCCAGGTCATACCTCACCATTTTGCTAAAATGGCATGTGCTTTCCCTTGTAGTGACTAATCTGCAAAGCAAGTAGCGAGGATTCTATGGGACAGGTTCTTCTGCGTTTTTGGCATTCCAGAAAGGATCCATTCGGATCAACGTGCCAACTTTGAGAGCCAACTGATTCATGAACTCCTGGAAGTTGCAGGTGTGAATCATGTCATTTGAACTTCCTTATATGCAGATTTGAACCGGAGCTCCTCACCTCTCAAGTATGTCTACATACTCCGTGAGCTACCGAACAAACCTACCGTCTATGAAAACCCATAGATATGAAGCTGGATATATGTGATGCTAACATTCAAAAGCATCAGTTTTTAAATCTCCCAGCATATTAAAATTGTTTTGTCATAAGTCACAACATAATATTATTCAAGTAATTGTGCGAAAATTACGCTTTATTAATCGAAACTCTGTAAATTTGTGTGAAAAGGAATAAAAGGTGTCTTTTCTTTTGGAAACTGCATTGATATGTACTTATTGGTACGTATTTCGCGTCTCGTGAAAATGTCCCAGGTACGTTTTTGCCATGAGACCTGGTAGACCTGATCTGTGTTAGGGCAATCCGCTTTGTGGAGATACAATTCCATCAATTCAATCCATTCCTGAACCGTGTATTTGTGTACTAACACTCTAGGTTTACCAACAGCAGGCTCTTCCACCCCAGCAACCCTCTACCCCTCCCAAGGTATCAGAGTCTTTCCTTACCCCAGCCATTGTATAAACTTACAACAATAACAGAATAAACACAAAGGAGAACTGACCTCAGACAATGTCAGACAAGAGTGAGGACAAACCAGCATTTCAGTGTGTCAGTCTGCGAAAAGTCTTTTTTTTCCCACAGCTACTGGAACAATGGTGAAACCGATTCCTCAGCTTCCACACGCAGCACTCAGACATCACGAATGCATTGTTAGGTAGGCGTGGCTGACTCTTAACTTTTATAAAGAATATCTCTTTGGATTTGAGACTTTAGTCTTTGCAACTTTACAGATCTTCTTTATGCACCAAGAGCTTGTAACACTCCAAAGAGAAAGAAACAATTGAAATTGCATCATATGACCCCTTTAAAAAGACAGAACAGTGCCAATGTAATCCACCTACAAAGACCACAAAAATATCTCTGAATAAATGAAAGTCTATGAAAATTAAAATATTGGATGTTAACAATCACTTTTTAACACCGAAGACACAAAATGTGTCTTTTTAACACAAAATTAAAATTGTCATTATTTCATTTGCCAAAACCATGCTAGAGAAATTGCCTCCACTATCCAGTGGGATAAACGCCGTTTAGTAATCGGCTTCCCCCACGCAGCTTCCCCCAAGACACAAACAGCTCATCACTCTCTTTCGTTCTTTCCGTGTAAATACGTAAAGCACGCACCGGGCATAACGCATTCAGCCTTTGCTGTTCTGCTGAAGCAAAGGGCGGTGGATACAAGGCTCTTAACTCGAGGAATAATAGAATTGACCACCTTGGGCATAAATGCAGGGTTAGGTTTCAAAAACATCCCTGCGTCCCCTGGCATGAATTGCATACACGCTGGGTGCACCGAAAGTGCGTGAATTCCACTTACACGATTTACTGAAGCCAAGGCTAACAGCACCGCCATCTTAAACGACAGTAATTTAAAGTCAAAATATGCATCCTTCAGGTCAATTGAGGT